GATATCTCTGGTTTTCTATAATCTCAGGATAGTAGGCTCCATACTTTTCTATAATCTCAGGACAGTCGGCTCCATACTTTGATGATATCTCTGGTTTTCTATAATCTCAGGACAGTAGGCTCCATACTTTTCTGTAATCTCAGGATAGTAGGCTCCATACTTTTCTGTAATCTCAGGACAGTAGGCTCCATACTTTTCTATAATCTCAGGACAGTAGGCTCCATATTTTTCTATAATCTCAGGACAGTAGGCTCCATACTTTTCTATAATCTCAGGACAGTAGGCTCCATACTTTTCTATAATCTCAGGACAGTAGGCTCCATACTTTGCCTTTTCTTGATGACATCTACACTGTTGTGCCTTAAAGCCAGAAGATTTAAAAACCCTTTTTTTTTCTTTTCTTGTTTGACACATTGGCATTCACAGGAGAAATAAAGGGAACAGTGTGGTGTGTTAGCTGGCACGGGTGCTCAGTGGTCAGACGCTAGAGTTACAGCACTGTCACTGCGGTTTGTGATAAGCAGCACCGTGAAGCCAAAAACAGAGTCTGGGTTGCAGCTGTCATCTTTGCTGGCCCTAAAACAGCCCTGACCTACACATGGATGAGGGTGGCTGTGCTCCAGTTAAATTTTACTTTGGGCCCTTATTTCCTGTCCATTTATTTGTATTTTCTTTTCTTTCTTTTTGGTAGTACTGAGATTGAACCTGTAATATCACGAACAAACAAATACTAAAATGACAACTGTGTTCCCTTTCACCTGTCTGGTAAGCACAGGTCTGGAGCTGTGGCCAGGGCCACATTTTGTAAAGCTCTTTAGTGTTTTATGATTCTTGCTATGCTCACCTTCATAGCTGATTTTGTACACATGTCCCAGTTTTTTTGTTTTTAAAATTTATCCCCCTTCTGGGGGCTCTAGAGATGGCTCAGTGGTTAAGAGCACTGGCTGTTCTTCCAGAGGACTGGGGTTCATTTCCCAGCACCCACACGACAGCTCACAGCTGTCTGTTACTTCTCTTCAAGGGAAATCAGACACCATCATACAGACCAGCACACATAAAATAAATCATTAAAAGAAAAAAA